TAATCGAGCATGGGGATTCCGAATACAATATTGGTTTTCAGGATTATCGATTACTTTTATCGATTTTATCGATTTTTTTGCAAAGTTTGAGCTAGGGGGCTGGGAGTTGGCACAGGGGGTAATCGAGCATGCTGATCACCCCCAGGGGGGTGATCAGCATGCTCGATTACACTCCTGTGCCAAATTCCAGCCCCCTAGCTCAAATTTTCAAAAAATCGATAAAATCGAAAAAGTAATGGACGATCCTGAAAACTAATATTGTGTTCGTAAACAGCATGCTCGATTACCCCCCTGTGCAAACTCCCAGCCCCGCAGGTCAAACTTTACAAAAAAATCGATAAAATCGATAAAAGTAATGGACGATCCTGAAAACTAATGTTGTATTCGGAATCCCCATGCTCGATTACCCCCCTGTGCCAACTCCTAGCCCTGTAGGTGAACTCTGCAAAAAATCGATAAAAATCGGTAAAATCGACATCGATCGATAACGAAAAGTGGACTGTGACACCCGCCGGGGCCCGAAGTGTATGTGTGCCAAGTTTGGTCCGGATACGGCGGAGCCGGGTAAGCCAGCTAGTTTATAATAAATCTTACAAAATCTCTGAGGCCGCTAGCATTGGCGTTCCCACAATTTTGTTCCCGGGGGGGGGGGGAATGGTGGTGAAAAAAATTCTTTTTTTGAAGGTAACAACTTTATTTTTGAGATGCCTTCAAAAATGTTCTCGTTCCCATAATCTTGAAACGCACCGAAAATTTTTTTACGGGCCAATTCGATTTATTGAACAATTGAAAAATCATTCTAATCTTTCGGAAGTGCAAACAAGTCAGCGGCACTTTATCATGATTTAAGTAAGTAACTTTTAGAAATTCGCTATTCATTCTCAAGTGGCGTAATAGACGACTTAGCGATAAGGAAATACAATTTTGCAAATCGTATTTATCGAAATGCAAATTTTCAATTTGTGCCCTAAAGATTCTAAGGAATCTGAAGGGTTTGGCTCAGTTCCAGGCTTCAACCACACTTAGAAACGAGGTGAAACTGATGCTGAGCTGATATCGCTGCGAAAAGTTTTGATTTTTGATTTTTTTTGATTTTTTGTTAACGTGTCAAATAAAATCAAAAAATATATTTTATGTAAATATCAAAACATATACCGCATGGTGTTGGCGAAGCATTTCATGCGGAATGGCGCGGCCGCTTCGCTGGAGGCATTGCGAATGCGCGCTGACGTTAGTAGGCATAGGACTGGAGCGACACAGACGCGAGTCCTGTCACGACGTGATAGCTTGCGGTGCGGCGCGAAGCGCGCGTCATCCCACTCTAATCTAATCGCGTGAAACAGGCCATCCCCAAAAGTTTGTCTATGAAAAAACATTTATAACGCATTCAAAAATCCGAAAAAAATTTAATTTTATGCAAGTTTTAGCGTGAAAAGTTTTTTTTAGCAAAATTTGTCAATTTTTTCTCATCAGTGCAACTTGGAGTCAGTCTAAATTCTCAACGCGGGGCAGCACAATTATGACAACAGCAACCTTCCTGATCATCCCATCAGTCATGCATCTTACATCTTTTGCCTTTTCTTGCATCTTCCAGATCTTCCCAGCCACATATACCATGATGTAGTTAGCTGAACGTGTTCTAGCCTACTTTGTAGGTCCCAAATAAGAAGCGTATGCGATAATTACATAAGAAGGTTTACGATAATTACGTCTAATCTGAGTGAGTCGCTCCGCCTCCACACTCTGGCAACTGGCTGTTAATGTTATCCGGTCTGTGTGAGCGGATTATCTCTTCGTCGCTCTGGCACTTTTTCATGGCTATAGTGATTGATTTTTCGTTTTACATACATATATGGTCTGTTTTTCTCAGAATAGCTGAATAGGAAGGTTTTTACGCTCTAGGTGCGATCAGGTTATATAAAAACTTAGTGATACTAAAGCACTATACATTGTTGCCAAAAAAAACTGCCAAAAACATGTGAGGTTTGCGAGAAGCTCAAAGAAAAATACATGCAGACAAATTTCGGAAATGATTTTCGCAAAACACGTATAGGTCATTTTAACTGCAGTCTTATCGGATGTAAACAGTAAAAATTCGAGTAAAGATAGAAAACAAAAAATGCGGTTGTTGGAAGTGCGTGCGTGTCGCGCGCGGTCGCGCCACCGTCATTATTTTTTGAATGCTCTATAAGGAATGCCATCACTGTGAAATTTCCCCTATAAAAAAAGTAAAGCATGGAAATCATTTTTGTATGCGTCTGCAAACAGCTTTTCTTCAAATTTTATGAAATTTTTATGGCTTGATTTTTCGGCAAATGCTGTATAGCAGATTGGTATCATTAAGTTTTTATACCGCTAATCGCACATAAAAGCCGAATAATACAAGCTTAAACGATGACAATGCAATAAATTGGCACGTACTTTACTTTCCACTCATAATTTTTACTGATCAAAAGAGAAGAAATTATGGATTAGTCAAAAAGAAACTTACTTGTATTTTAGCTAGTGCGCGACGACTCAAAGGCGTCGCGACCGCGCGATAATAATAGCAGTTTCTACGCAGCTTGCGTTCATGACTGCACTGTATATAAGGTACCAATTTCAAAGAGTGAAATTTGTGAGCAAAGCCATTTTTTAGTGTAACCATAATTGACAGAGATAGGACTAGTTGGTGTATTTCTGCATTTCACCGTAAAGTAGTTTGTAATAGCTTCAAGGCCTTCATTCCTGTTAGGCAAAACAAGCCAAATATGTGCCATGTGTTTATTCGAAAAAATCCTTGCTCTTAGACACTAGGTTAGGATGTTCTTGGAGGCAAACTTGGGTAACTGGACTTCAATGTGGGTACTATCTAGTAGACCTTAGCTTACCTATCACCCGAGCGGAAGCACCTATGACCCATTCATGGACGAGAAATTTAGTTCGAATTCTCTCAAACCATACTGTTTCCGTGCGGACCAATCAGCGCATTGGAGTACGGTAGAGGTACGATTTGGGCGGGAGTTTGAAGTTGTATTTCTTGGCCACGGATGTATCACACGAGCTGCAGCTTTGGCAATGGCTTGGCAAAGTGGACCCTTTTCGGATTTTGGTGGTATTGTGTAGTAGATCCCCCCCCCCCCAAGCACATTGTAGAACCTCACCTGCCAATTCTTGCACTAAGTCTTGAAAACTGCGCTCTAAAACTCCATCAGCCACGCTACAGTGTATCCTAAGCATCTACTACCCAACACAACCAAAATCCGAGAAGTGGTCATTTTGCCGATCCACTGCCTCTAATGAAGGCCTCCCAACCATATTCCGTACAAGGAAAGCAGGTATTGAGACCGCCCAGAAGTCGCCTGTATAATTTCTGTCAGCCATTGTCGCTCATTGAATTTTACGGATAAGGACTTATTTGGAAGAGTGTGAAGTCACTAGTGTTCTCAAGTGCCCTAAACGATGTGTGAGTGTCACGGAACTAAAGTATGTCTGTGTGGTGTTCGTTCATCGTCAACAGTCACTCCTCAATTCTTTTTTCATAGAGGCCGCAAAAAACGCCCCTCATTCTGCGCCGCCGTTGCCGCCGCCGCTCTCCTCCCGCGTCCAGTTCTCGCAATGATTGTAAACTCACATTTGCGTTCTGTCTGTCTGTCGGTGTGTGTATGTATGTATGTGTGTGCTTGTGCGTACTTGATGTCGATTAATGCTCGTCTGATGATCGTCGTCGGGGGAGTTTTGCATTGCATTTATGGTCGTTTCGTTCCATCAGAACGGCGACGACCGCATCTTTAGTGGTCATTTTGCCCGTTGCTGCAAGATCTTGATAGTTTCTGCATCTGTGTAAATAGCTGCAAGTGGACAGAAGTCATTTAATTGCAGTTGTCCTTTCAAAACTTCCAGAATGCTTTACTACAGTCGAGTAGATCTTCTGCTCATTACACGCCCCCCCCCCGGCCCCTCCCGTGAATGGGTCTCGAAATCTTTGAAAGTTACTTGCATAAGCCATCAAAATGTGCAAGTGACATGCTTATACTTGTAAATAATTGCAATTATTCTCAAAAATCAAACTGGCTTTGTAAAAACATTTCTCGGGGCGTTGCTGCTGCCACGCCTCCTTTTTCCAGATTTTAGGGGTTATGGGGCCTACCTGTCGCCACGCACAAATCCCCTCCCCCCCAGACGTTTTTTCTCGAATTGCCACTGGTATCCAATACTCATTATAATTATTATTGCTATCCAATCGCGTCCCAATTTGTTCGCCGAATCTCTGCACCACAAGCACACTTTGTTAAGTAATAAAGTTATAGATTTTGTCATTTGGACGAGATCTGGACAAATGATTTTGATATGAAATGTGAACTCATTTTAAACAGTTAAGTAAGGTGTCAATTTCAAATCATGCACTTCTTATGAGGGTCTCCTTTTCTAAATTTGTATAAGTCTCCAATCACAATGATACTTGAAACTAGTGATCCAAGCTTCTTGTATACTGAACTTATCAATGTGCGGTAATTTGCTTATAAAATTATGAAAATGTGGTAATGCGGACATACCAACTCAACTAAGTGGTTTTCAAAAAGTATATACCGCTTGCTTTTTTTCTGACCCACAAGTATTGTAATGTATAGCTGAGTGCACAAAAGACTATTTAGGCCCCATTTTTTCCGGAAATATCGACTTTGACAGCTGGGGCATCGTCTGTTCAACTCTAAAACACGCGGGTAATATTTCAAAATTTTGCCAATCTTCTAAGAAACGCCTAAATGGCAATAAAAAAGTATAATTTCAACTGCATATTTGTGCACACCTTCATTAAGAACAACATTTCACTTCTCTTTAGAATTTCTCTCGCAGTTAATGACCTTCCAAGTGCATACTCATCAAATTTGCAAATCTTTCTTATCGTTGGTTATTTGTATCACTAACTGCATGAAATGTGGTGACCTTTGGTGTGCTGTGACTCTTTCGCTGTTTCTGGATTATTTTCTATCGTTCGTAATCGTATAATTTTCTGATTTAGGACTGGTTGGTGATGTTGCTGTTGGTGAATGTGGAAAAACATCAGGAAGTTTTGGGAAAGATTGTGGCTGATTTGGTAAGCGATCTTGGAGTTGTTAGATCATTTTCGTTTTGCATTACCCATCCATTTTAATTTTTGATCTTGTCAAGTTTGTGAGGGATCAACTGTCATCGGTTTTTGAAAGTCATTCCATGCATGATAAGCTATTTTTGGAGTTACTTTAGAACTGAGAAAACGAAAAAGATGCCAAATTATAGTATTGGTTTTAAACTGTATGGGCAATTTTTCGCACAAGACAGACGTCACTGCGGAAGCTGCCGCGTCCCTCAGACCAAATGCACCTTCATTTCTCTAACCGTCTGCTGTCTCTTACTTATACGTACTATCTTGTCGGACGCAAAGGCGTCCAGTCTGTGCCTGCGATGAAATGCCTGTAAGTCTTTTTTGCGGGGTTACGGTATGTGTCTGTATCACCAAAATCGTCAAAAAAAGGATTTAGTTGTGACACGCTAGCCTGTACGAATTACAATAATACCCCCCTACCGTACACCTACCGTATAAATGCCGTTTTTTTGAAGGCCACGCGGTAGAAGTCATATGTATGACAATTTAGTCAAAAGTTCTGAGACATTGAGACGTGAACGCAATGCGCATTTTTTTATTCATTAATCTTAGAGACATTCCCTTCTTATTTCTCAATTTTTTCTCTTATTTGTAATTATGACTACGCATTTTCACATTTACTACATTTGTATGTGCATGCCACGTCAGTCTCGTTTTCTGATGCGCGTCTAGAATTGCAATTTTTTCTGCAGGCGCGGACTTGCAAAGCTGGTTAGGAGTGTGATTTAATTTTCTTTGACATTCCAGCATGCCTGTGAATGTGTTCACCACACAGAGTGCACTCAATCTGTCACTAACATGCGTTAATGCGAAACGCTTAGTATCAGCGCTCATGGGGTTCTGTCACGTACGAAATGCAAAAGATCTACGTCTACGTTTGTAAAAAGATATCTAGTTTGAATTTAAAAGACTGACAACATCATCAAAGTGTTCCAAAAAGAAACCCATTCCTCTTCCATGATGAATTCGAAGCTGTTGTCGATAGATAAATTAGCGAACATGTAGTCTTCAGAGCCTTCTTTTTCTTCCCCAGTTCTGAACAGCTGGCTGTGTTCTCTGACTAAACGGGGGCGGTGTGAGGCTTTGCGGTAAAAGAAAAACAAAAGAATCCGGCGGAAATGACGGCTGTGCAAGTTTTTCGTGCAGGGCACAAAGCAGCGATCCGCTGTGAGGGTCGGTAATTTATCTGGGTAATGGGGCGTAGTTACGGGGAAGGAAAGAGAGGAGATCTAGGTTGCGGGACCCCGAGGATTTTCTCCAAATGGGGAAGGCGCATGTTTTCGTTCGTTATTAATGGGTAATTGGGTAATTGTTTTGGGTCTGATCAGTTCACGCGCGCAGGGATGAAATTTGAGTCTGTGACTGTTTCATATCACAGGGACCAGCTCTCGTCAACCTTTCTTATATGTTGAACCATCTAATCTTGAATAGTGAACCTCATGAATAGATTAAAACTATGAACCCTCGAATGAAAACTTTTTCATACCACGGGGACCAGTTCTCGTCAACCTTTCTTACATGTTAAACCATCTTTACAATTTTGATTAGTGAACTCACGAATAAATCAAAATATGAACCATTGGATAAGAACTTTTATCACGGGGATAAGTTCTCGCCAATTTTTTTCTCTCATATGATACACCATCTACACAACTCTTAATAATGAACCTTGCAAATAAACTAAAACCATGGATCATCGAATAAGGTAGTTGGCAACTGTTTCATATCACAGAGACCAGTCGTCGTCAACTTTTCCCTCTTATATGATACACCATCCCCACAATTTTGAATATTGAACCTCACGATAAACCTAAAACTGTAAATCTTCGAGTAAGGTAGTTCACGGCAACTGTTATATGTCACGGGGACCAGTTTTCGTCAACTTTTTTCGTCCATATCATGATACAAATATCTGACGAATATCTAGTCTCCTGTGCAAATATCTAGTCTCCTGTGCTTGAATGTCGTCGTCATCGTAAATGTAGGCGAAGAAGGGCTACTTTTTCACTGGCATTTTTTTGAGTAAGTCGACGAGTTAGTCGGTCCATATCACGGGGACCAGTCCTCGTCACGTTTTTCTCACCTTATTTGAATTTTCAAACCTGAGTTCCTTTGGGTTTCGTAGTCTTGCTTCTCTAAAAGTCTTAGTGTTCCCTCATGCAAACTGAAATTTTGCCAGCATTATGGTCCGAAGTATGTGTGTAATTATACCACCTTTTGAATTATTTGAAAAAATATTGATTTTTGACGTATAAAATTTTTTTCGGATCATTCTAGGTGAAGTACGGTGTGCCAATATCACTGGTAGCTGGAGCTGACGAAGTGTGCGCTCGATGCTCATTTGTACAAGGCAAGCCGCCGTCGAATACCAAATTAGCTTCCGAGTGCATTACGTCCTTAGCATCGACACTCTCGCAAGTCTCACAGCAAGAACAGGTAGATCGCTCTTAGCATTGATTCCTTTCCTTCTGCAAGCAGTTCCTTTGCATTAATATGTAAGGGTTGCAGCACCAAATAGCTAGGTTTGCTTGTTAATTGCTTCTTGTTAATTGCTTAGCAACGATTTATTCCAGAATTGAGTTGAATAGAAAAAAAAACGTAGTAAACCACGTTTTTTCAATGATTCTTCATAAGCTTACAGTATGATCTTACTGTGGTAGTAGTCACTACAAACTCGAGTAGTTTCCTTTGTTAATGTGTGCAGTTGCACTATTTCTAAAATGCTTTTTATTCTTGTTTTTTTACATTGATTGGGTTCTATCGTACTTGATTAAATCAGTACATTTCATCTGTTACTGACTGAGAGATTTATGACCACTGTCGAAGTCCTGGAAATAGTGCAGTTGCACAAACTTGCAAAGAAATGTACTCGATTGTATCAAGAATATATGTCTTTTTCTTAATCGGCCTTTTTCAGTTATTGATGTCATAGTCAGTTTAGAGCTAATATGTCAGCGTAATAAGTTTTATTCATTCTGTTGTTTCTAGAAACCGTGTACCGCGCAAAGTATTGGCAATGTTGCGTTCAGAGTTGCGTGCCAGCGCCGTGCCAGCGCCGAGTGGGATCATCGCGTATTGATTGATCGGCGAATTTGGCGCAGCGCTAGCACAGCGTTCACATGCTGGCAATTCTGGACAAAGCTTAAAAGATCCGTGTGCAACAGAGATCTAATGCGATTGAAATAATATGTTTGAAATTAAATGCTGTAACTTGTACGGTTCCTAAAATATCAGTATTTGGTGAAATTTCTTAAATTTCAGAGCAGTATGTCCGAAGTAAAGTCAGAAGCTGGTGATGATCGTTTAACTATCGTTGATAATGAAAGCGAAAGTCCGAGCTCACTGGCAACTCCAACACCTCTACCAATGAACGAATTGGACCAGGCTATCAAGAGGTGAATGTCAAAAGGAGTAGAATTTGTAGCCTTTGATTCAACCGGATTGGCGGCTGGAATGCAGGGTCTGTGACCTAGTTAAGGCCGCTCGCGCCCGCGACGCAGTCTGCGTCTCTCTCGCGCACGTGCTCTCTGATCATTCTCTAATCTTAATTAGGCCACGAAGCCCCGCCTTCCAAAAGCAAACCCAGTTGAATCAAAGGGTACTTCATCGATAACTCGGAGCGCATGTACAGTCGCTTCATTTCATATGATCATGTGTGCCATTGCACACACAGTCCACTTTGGCGTCCTCATCCTAAATCTGCAATCGCAAAAACGCAAGAGACTTACCGATTGTCATCGATTACATCGATTTGGTGACTAGTAACTAAAAAGGAAAGAAAATGCTAAGAACACCTTGGAAACACTTATTTGAAGGCTTGTTTCTCCCACGAATCCAGGATGGGGACGCCAAAGGTGAATTCTGTGTACAATGACACACATGATCATATGAAATGAAGCGACTGTATATACCTTCTATAACACAGCATAGTGCCTTCGTCTGACAAAAACAACATTTTCGCGAAAGGAAATGCCATTGATGCTTGTGAAATGTCGAGAATTTGCTTGGAATCGCATTCAAAAAATGTTTGAATTTTGTAATCCCCGAGATATTTTTAGTAGACTAAATGGGTAAACTCAGGAATCGTGGCCGTTTTTCATATTTGAGACCTCCATAAAATTTTTGGATACAACCATTCTTTCATGATTTATGATTTTGTTGTTATTAGTCATTCTTGATTTTTCTGCGAACAGTCTTTGGCGATGTGCATAGAGATTGTTATTGCTCTTTTGTGCACTATTTTCAAAAAACTTTGGAGATTATTTGAATTACAGATTAAATAATTTCAGAGCACTCAGCGTCACAAATGCTTCTCTTCCCGTTGTTGTGACTCTCCCGTTGGGTTTTTGCCCCAGCAATTTTAGCAACAGATCGTGCTTGGAGACTAGTAAAAACAGTAGCGGTTGCGATGAAGAGGATGTGAGCTTTATTATGCTTTTTTTGGTCGAAAGTCTGTTTTTACCATATCCACATTTCAGCGTCTTAACAACAAAACTCCATCTGCCCCATCAGCTATAGGTCTCGGAACATCCACACTTTTGAGTGTTCCGGATCTACGAACTGTAGCAAGTCTGGCTTCTTCCTTGGACGTAAAACCTCCAAAACAGCAAGCTGCGCCAGAGTGTAAAACCGAAGTGGATGCTGTAAGAAAATTTCTGTGCTAGATTTGTTCTTCTAAATATCCTTGAGGGTTTCAGGATGCCCAATCGAAAAATCGCAAAAAGAAAAGAGATCGTCCGTTGAGCTGTAAGTAATTTTTTGCTTTTGTTGTCATTTTTGAGCAGAAATTTTTCAGTGACCAAAAGTGGTATGGTACGAAAAGGACGTAAAACCTACTCGGAAAATGATTTGGTGAGTTTTTTGTGATTATTCTGAGGATGATTAGCTTCATTTCCTGTTATGAGACACCGCAAAATTCATGGTTATTCTGGACGTAGAGTGCGCTAAAATGTTAAGGTGAGCCTACGATAAGAGACAAATTACACACTAGAGTTTAACTTAGGCTAAGGCCAATTTTTGAAAGGGTGGAATATTTTCAACATTGGAAACGCATTCCCATTGCATTATACAATCTTGGGTAGAGGACTATATGTCGCCGAAAAAGGGCGGTCCCCGCGGTCATTTGCGACAAATACGCACCCTTGTGTATGCGCGGACATGCGTTCCTGCAGGAAATCCGCGCGGGACTCCTCCAAATTCGGCGACATACAGTCCTCCACCCTACAGTCTTTTGCTAAGTTACCTAAAAATCAATACGTCGATCAGAATTCGGCAACATTTTGTTCCTAATCGATAAATGAATTTGCAGTGCAGATAGTTTGAGCGTAACTTTACTGAATTTTTGTGACCACCATTACGATCTTATTATAATCTTTCAATTCAGCAAATTTTGGAAGAATTTTATCTTAACGATCCTTTCGCTTGCGCAAGTCCGGATAAGCGACAAGCACTCTGCCATATGCTGAACATTGATCCATACAGGGTAAGTACTGCTTTATTTGCTCTTCTAATCTAGTCAAATCTTTATCAATCATGCTGGTTTTACATTATGCTACAATTTTTTAGATTGAAAAAAAGCTGTTCATTCAAAAATATAGATCAATGAGTATGCGTTTTTCATGCGTTCCCTCACATGATTTTGCGATTTTATGGCATGGCTTTACGCATCCATCTTTTTCCCCCATAGTCATTGTTCGTTGTCAAACAAACAGTGTATGTGTCATGGTGAGAACGTGCATGGAAATGTGGTGTTTCCGCTAATTCCTGGACATGATCACTCGTAATTTTCTGATGTAAGAGCTTGGGAACATTTGCAATAGCTTTTTTTCTCGAATAAAATTTTTTGAGTTTCTTTCATTTGAAGTGTTGAAAAAACAAGGATTCATCTTCTCGATTGCAGCTGTGTGGTAATTTTGATTTTTTCACTGCATCTTTTTTCCCATTTTTTTTGCTCTCAATGCTTACTATCCAATCTATTATTTTTCAGCTCAAGGTATGGTTCCAAAATCGCCGACGAAGGGACAAAGTGAATTACGAAAACCAGAAGATGAAGGATGCTTGAGCACTGATCTCAGTCGAATAAGTTATTAAATTACGGGTGATTTTTGGTGCATAATTTACGTAGAGCTACGGAATATAGAAAATCCAGAAAAAAGGGACCTATCCTATCTATCTAATCTGACAATTTGTCGTTTTGCGTGTTATTGTTTTTTTCCTTTCACAAACCATGTCAAAGATCTTCTATGTTTACATCTCTCAAAAGCCTTTCCTAGTATTCGCGAATCTCAGCAATTTCTCCTTGCCAATGTTTATATTCATCAAGAGTGAGCATTGATTTATTGATTGCTTTTTTTCTCCATAAAACTGCATTTGTTTACTGCTTTTAGATAAATTATTTGTAACAGATGTGATGTTGATGTATTGCGGTTGTTTTGTTGTGCTAGATTTTGAAGTTTTTAATAAAAGAAATATGACATGTGTGCAATGTTGATCAACAGCATTGCAATTTTCTGCTGAGAGACTTATCTGGCGATATCAAGGCTGATTTTATACCAAATTGATTCAGCTTTTGAAGGTGATGAGACAGTAAGCATGTATCCCACAATTTGCAGACGCTTATAGTAACGAGAACTGGTCCCCACGGTACCTTTGCTGTATTGCGGCGAATTTTACGTCATAATCACTTTTATTTTCCAAGACCAAGGCTGATTTGTACCATAGGACGAGTTTTCGTAAAATTTGCAACTTACAATTTGTCAAAATACAGCAAAAATACTACCAATTCTCGTTACTATAAGCGCCTGAAAATTGTGGGCTTCATGATTAATGTCTCATGGAGCTTCAAAAGCTGAAGAGGGGCACTACTTTGATAACGAGAACTGGTCCCCAGGTGTTCCGACAGTGTCTGCTCTAATGAAAAAAATCTTGAAGTAATAAATTGAAGCAAATTAGCGTTATAATTTCTGAAACATGTTCATACAGTGTATCGATGGAGCACATGGTTTGATTACACGTTTATTTCCTGAATCATCTCTCTATTTGCTGGGCGGTTTTTGATGTATACGAGAACGTAGGACCAAACCAGATAGAACAACATTTCAATTTTCTTATTTTTTTCTCAAAAACTCAGCTTGATAATGTGAGGTAAATTTAAATAGTTTACTTTTTTACGACGTCAAAATGATTAACTACAGCGCTTATTGTGTGGCTTTAGAGCTTGATAATACAAATAGTCCGTTGCACTATACTGCACCTTAGAAGAACTGTCCAAATAGATACTTGGCGTTTCAAAAAGCCGTTTTAGATTGTATGAATGTGCGCAGTGGGCGTGGTTGTCAGTCGGGCCCGTGGACGCGATTGGCTGTTGTGTGCAGCTGATTGCACCGGCCAATCACTCCTTCGGAAATGTTGCGACAACCACGCCTATTCACGTTCCAGGGTAAGAAAAGCATGTTTGTGCTTCCACTCAACTGTACATTTGAACCACTGTATTGGGCTCAGCACATCCAAAATGCTCAGGACTGACAAAAAACTGAAAGCTAAGCTTCTGGGGCAGCATTATTTGTCCTCCCGATCTCTGTTGGGTGCTAATCTACAGTTATAAACAGGGTTGAGCAAGAGGTCAGGCACAAGTCTTTCCAAAACGACCCCCCCCCCAGTGAATGCCCTTAAACGACCCCTCTGCTTCACCTCCAGGACCTCAGGCTGTGATAATTCGAAGAGATCAGCCGTTTTTGGGAGGTTCTTGTTTTTTGGAGGTCTGTAGGTCGACTTTCTGCGATTGCACGGCACACGCAACTTGACGGCAAGTTTTGGATTTTGGATAGCCCTACTTTTAGAGCTATAATTCCCACAGGGGTGTATTGTTTGGCTCCAAATTTGCAGTATTGCAAGAAGAGGCTTTGAGTTCAATACTCATAGCAGAAATGGAGCGATTTTTAGATTTTGAAAACCAGTTAATCGGGTCAGGCGCAATCCCTCAAAAGCTCAGGCGGCCTGACCTTTTGTGGGGTTGCGCCTGACCCGATTAACTTTATCATTGAAGAAGCTTTTTATTCACGTTTTATGTGAATCGCTAGCACAACCCTCGCAGATTCCACAGTAAGTGTTTGGACTTGATTCGATTTGTTTCGGCCTTGTGGTAATCCGTAGAGTTGAAGCAGTCATGGCGAAAAACGCGCCGGTCGGAATTTTGGCATTATTTCTTACTCCACTATTTGCAAGCGATACAAAGCGCGATTTTTAGCCTGGACTAGTAGGGAACAATACTTTGTTACGAGTACAAAAAAATTGACTTTTCTCACTTTTGAAAACAAGTTAATCATGTTTGAAAATCACGCTTTTTAGTCGTTGAGAAACACTAGATAATGCAGTAAATAATGGTTTGTAGGGCTCATAGAGGTAATTTGACGTGCTCGGAAATGATACCCATTTCACACAGCAAGCTTCCTTGATGAATTTATAATATGTCAAGGTAGAAGATGAAGATTTGAGTTTTGGCCGAAACTTCGATTGTGGAATCAATCAATATGCTGTTTAAGACCGTTCATTCCTTCAGTACTGGTGAGGTCGCGATATCCACTAAACTAGCGCTTTTCTTCTTCACCTTAATCGTAGTATCTCCTCAATCGAACGAATTCGGTTCCTAATCACGACCCCCCCCCCTCTGTCTTACCCCAGTACGACCCCCCAGGTCGGGCGCGCCTGACCCCACGCTCAACCCTGGTTATAAACAAGCGCCCATCGCCCGATCACTTCAATAGGGTGTTCACTTCAATAGAACAACGCCTGATCAGAAATTCGGGAGGTTGGTAGATATTCTCGAACCATACTCGTTATCACACTAGGAAGTTTACGAGCAGAGGTAAGACGCATATTAAGTAAAGCTTGATGGCATTCAAAAAAGTGTTCTCCCCCCCTCTCCCTTCTTCCTCGGACCACTAACTCCAGGGTCCGGCATGCGTTGGTTTGGAGGATTTTTGAAAATGAAGTCCCTCCAAGGTTTTCCATAGTTTTACGAAATCCCTGTTGACGTAATTGGTAAGAAAACACCAACAATCTGCAACAACAACTACATAAAAGACAATTGTCGCCAGTTTAAAGGACGCCTTAGCAGGCATGTGATTGGAGCGCCAAATTTATCAATGCGTTTTACACTGTTTTTGGTTCGGAAAAAAGAGGAGAGGCAATGGTTTGATTTACTTTCTTCACTATATGATAGATTTTTAAGATTCTAATCGTCCAAACTAAAAAGGTCCAAAACTCCAAAACTTTGTGAACTTTCCGATATTTATGCTCCGAGCCAGACCGTTGATGTGATGGCTTAGAAACCAATATTTCGGGAACGGGTATTAGGACACATAAGTTTCCAAAACTTTTTACATAATGTAGTTTGGAGTAATATTGTATGTACACAGCCCAAATTTGGTGTCATGTCATTGCTTGTGGCTTAAACAAGGCATTCTTTACTTGGGCATCATTTTGAATTTGGCGCGCTTGGTGAGAAAGAACTCGTCAGAGCATGTCATTCATGTACCAACTTGATAATTAGCATATCTGAAGGTCACTCACCTATATGTATGTGTAGCAGTTTTTACGATACTCCCTTGGTTTTACCCCGAAAACGAAGTTCATTAACCCAAACCATCTGTGCCGGTCCCTAACCTCCTCCATCCCCCCCCCTCATGGCCCGTCTATCGCCCGCCACCCCTTGAGACATGTGGGCCATATCTTCGGCGCTGCTCGATGAGTGCAGGCGCGTGGGGTGCGATGACGCATGCGTCGTGTGTGGTGGAGGAGACGGGGGTGGCGACGTGGCGGCCGGGCGGCGGGCGACGGGGGCTGCTTGGCGCCGCCCGCCGGGTGCCGCTGCGGCAACGCATGGCGCGATCGATTGCACCAAACCGGCCCGCCGCCCGGCACACACATAACATTTCGTTCAGTCTTCGTCTGCTTGCACACCCTTCGCGATTCTGGACTTCTTATCGACAGTCGGGTGACGATACTTGGTGTATTTTGTGGTCTTCTGACTGTTTTGCAGTTTTTCACATTTGTTTGGCGAGAAATTACCCTTTTTTCGGTTTGTCTGTTATTTATCGCGCTTTTCCCCTCTGTAACCTCTTAAGCCTAGACTATGCTCAAAATTCTATTTCAAGGTGTTTAGGAACGGAGGTTTTCGCTTGACTTTTAATTTTTTTTAAAGCTTGCAGCAATCAAAATAAAATCAATCAAGTGCTTTTCAAACGTTTTTATGTTTGTGTGCCTGTACTTGCCACAGACGATAGCTCTAAAATTAAAAAATTTCTAACGCAAAGTTGGAAGAGAATTATTTTATTTTTTTGGAGCTGTAATTAGAATTGAAAGATGGCGCAAAAATAAATTCCTAGTTCTTCACACCTTTGTGTTTCTCGCCACGCCTGGGAGCAGCTTAATCCGCTGGTCATTTTGTATTTTTTGTGACATCATTTGCAGTTTGTGATTCCAGACTTGTTTACTTTGCTGCTGCTTTGGTTTCGGTAAAGGACATTATGGGTTCAACTTATCTTACTTATTATTCCTCATAAGTGATAATTGCATTTTTTCAAAAATACCCTCTCGCTTCTTTGCGGATTAAGCTGCTCCTAGGCGTGGCGAGAAACACAAAGGTGAGAAGAATAGGAATCTATTTTTGCGCCATCTTTCAATTCTAATTACAGATCCAAAAAAATAAGATAATTCTCTTCCAACTTTGCGTTAGAGATTTTTAATTTTAGAGCTGTAAGTCTTCTGAAAATTGCTGGTTTATGATGCCGAAAAATAATCATTTTATCTTAATTTTTTTTTGATTAACTTTCAAAATCACACTTTTTTGTTTTATTTTGTCCATTTTTCAAATTAGCTTATTTGATTTCAAGTGCTACATTCTATGCGTAATTACTCGAAAAATCTCCTATTTCCTAATCCCATATCATATGACTTGGAAGTATTATTATTGTAGAATTGCACAGTGTAGTTCACGAAAGAGAAAGTGATAATGACTTTTGACATCATTGTGAGTAGACTCCAAAAGCTAATTATGCTAATTAACAAGTTGAAGATAAGCTTTTTTCAACAAAATTCAGCAAACTCATTTCAATACAAAAGAAGAAGTCATTTCCATGTGTTAATCGTTGACTAAACACCGTTTCCTACCCTGCCAAGGCGCATTCTTAACGCTTTTCTTCCCGAGAGGGTTAATCATTGTCAAGGAATGTGGTGTTGTAATTCAGCATGTATAGGCAGTCCATGATTTCAAATCAGAAAACACATTTATTACATAGCCAAATCAAGTGCAAAATTCAAAAGAAAGAAAAGATGAATAACAATTTAGGGTTGAAAAGACTCTAAATTCCATCGTGTAATATCTTTCGGAATCGAAATGGTCAGTCCAAAGTCATCTGTACAACTCATTGGCAGACGAGGTATGGGGTGGGGGACTTTCGTTCCGAAATTTTTGAAAGTTACCTATCTAGAGTTGTGCAAATGACTTGTATTTACCCGTAAATGATTGAATTCAAATTCAAAATAGCTCTGTAAAAAACGCTTACAAAATTTCAAAAGCATTTCAAAAACTTGGATGACACCTCCTCTTACTCAAAAAATTAGTCGTCCCCCCCCCCGCCCCCCTGATAGAACTTTTCGGACTACCACTGATATAACTTTGCATTCTATCTGTGTTGTGGTCCTCCTTATGCTCATACAGATTATGTTGTAGGAACGCAGCTAACATGGCTCATGTGAATTAGACAGATAAATAACAAGTAATTGGATTGAATAAATTATTGGCAATTCTATGCAAGTGTTAACGAATGTATCGAAATGTTTGTTCGCCACAAAGATCAACAAGCTCATGTCCATATTATTTTCCTTTAGACTGAATAAAATGATTGTCCAAAAACTTTAAAACAAGAAGCTCTCCACTTGCAAATTGATACGTATCTTCTGGCAATTTCGTTATACTCACATGGAGAATATTCGAGCGTTGCATAAAATTTCTCAGATTTTGGTGTTCAACAGTCATTCTGTTTTGTCCAGTGATGTTTGCAAAAAATTATCTGAAATCTTCCAGTTAAGGTTTCGCATGCTATCTTTATGCTCTTTTTCGTGCACAGCCGACTGAATTTCTTTTGCTTTTGTAAGAAAGATTGCTATCATATTTACCTGCTTATCAGTAGCCAGCTAGATACATGCTTTTTTCAAAGTGACTTATTAGGCGATCAGTTCACATACTTCCTGTAATAGAAATTCTTCAACGAGTCTAGTGGCAAATAGAGCTTATTATTTTTCCAAAGCCGTCTGGATTCAATGTTAACATTAACAAATTTACAAGGGAAGTATACTTGGTGACCGTGACCATTTGAAATACAGTGTGTACCATGAGATGCATCTCGAAACTGTGATTCTAAATCTGAGCTCGATATCTGCAAAACGATTTCCTAGAAGAAGTTATGAACTTTTTTTGCAAATAATTTGCATACCTTTGGATAGTTGAAATCACCAAAATTGTTCTGGTTACTGTTTAATGCTATTAAGGAGGATGTCAGTGGGAGTACTGTTGTATCTATAGTTATTTAAATCACACAGCATTTAAAAAAGGAAAGAAAATTTTCTTCTTAAGGAGTTTGACCCTCCGCGGTAGCATTATTCAATCTTGAAAAACAATCATAACTCCATCGGTTATCGTTTCGCAGATATGGAAGACAGTTTTTGAACCAGCATTGAAGGGCGGATTTTTTTTTTGCATACAAATTGGTATGAGTGGCCACGGTCACCAAGTATCCTACCCTCGCTAGAGTTCGTACGAGAACTGGTCCCCTGACTTAAGTTTCAATTAGAAAGGGCATGTCTTTATAGTGATTTGTTTATTGAGATTGGCTTTTTTCTATCATCAATTTCTCACCGTGTTTACGATTATTTTCGATTTACTTTCTACAATCTTCCCCTAATTTGTGTTTCTCATTTTTTTCATTGGTGTTGCTATATCTATGTGACTGAAGACATTTGCAGACATGTATGTCTTATTGAATCTCAAAGATGGATCGAGGTTAACTGATGTGGTTCAGTTATTGGTACGTGAGTTTTTCGAATAGAAAAAATAGTATGCGAAATTCTAGAAATCTATATATTTACATTTGTACATTTTCAAATTTTTTTTGCACGTTGTACAATCTTTCAAAAGCAAAAGTGCAGAGCCCTCTAAGGTTGATAAAATTAGGCGAAAAATTTATATTTTTTTAAATCTAAATTCTTATATCTTGCTTCATCTTGATTATTCTTACAAAATTCCTACATCTTTTCAGTTTTCTCATGGGCATACTGCAGTAAGCGTTGCCGAAAATATTGAGGATTTATGTCCGTCATGTGAACGTAGAAACAATCATAAAACCAGTGGTGCCGAGCACAACGATGTAAGTTTTTTGGCAGAGGGCCAAACCAAATTTGATTAATCCTGGCTCCAATTATTTAAGGATTCCTCACTCACAAAATCATTATTGCATGAAGCCAAGACCGACAAATTGTCAACGTCCGCACAATTACTTGGCAATTCTCCAAATATGGAAGGTGATGGCACAGCCGTGGCCCGAGAACGAGACGGAGAACAATTTATCAATAAAACAGAACACGTGCCTCCACCTGAACCAGCCGAAATCAAAGAAGAACCGTCAGAATTTACAGTAAGCTGAGCACTTGATGTAATTGCAGACTAGAACCATATTTAGTATTTTTAGGTCGCCACAACATCCTCGGCTGAACCAACATCAAATAATGACAGCGCACACTTTATCACATCAGCTTTGGAATTGTTGGGACATGCAACTGCCAGTACAATGGTAAAAAATTATCGTGATAAGTCGGTCTGTTTGTGGAATATAGGCTAAAAATATTTAGGACCACGGGGATGCAGAACTCGACAAAGAACATAATGGTCCGCCATCAAAACGGAAAGCCCGCATCGAGAATCTTGGTCTCGAGATATTTCAGTGTCAGGTAGATATCAAATTTATTGTGATAGTCCATGTGAGTGCACAAATAGAAAGAGAGAGGGGCGGGGGAGGAGGGAATGTGCCATGCGTTGCATCGTAATGGGGCCAAAATAGCTTGAATTAACTATTTTCGAGAATTAGATAAATTTGATTATTGATTTTTCGAAGCTAGCAAATTTCGTAGCCCATCCTATGTGTAGATAAAATTATTTGTCTACTTCATCGGCCCCAAAAAGCTTCGCGGTTTTGACCATCAACAATTAATTTGGTTGGCTTAACTGTCAAAATTAGATATGCTTCGAGGAACTACCCAAGCATGGAATTGGGCTTTAATCGCTGAAATATCATTGTAGGCGTGACTTTCAACCAGTTTGATATGCATTTATCCGAAAGCGAAGGCGGAAAGGGAATAACGAAGATTTTTACCACGTCGACTATATCAAGGCGGGCGTAGATGGAGAGAGTTTTTTTTTGTGGACGGGCACACATCCGAGCAGCGCACGATCAGTTCTGACTTCGTTCTTCCAAAGCATTGTTTTCTTTTCAAACGTTTCCACCGCTTTAATTGCTCCTGTCATTTCTGTGAAGGCTGATAACACATATCCTCCACATGTCCTCCTTCATCTAAGGTCTTTAGAAGCGATTCTGAAGCGATTTATCTTATCTCGGTTATTCGTTCTTTTCGGATTCCAAAAAATGCTCATAAGTTCTTCTCCAAAGTCGCTCTGCACATACGAAAAGCAGATCCGGAATCAGCTTTCCAAGTTTTTGCTGAGAATATGCTACTTATAGTGATCGGCCACTTCGACTTCGCGACCCTCTCTTGTTACCTCCAAAGGTTCTAGAGTTCCTCCTACAATTAGTGCCCTAGATGTTGCACGTACCGGTAGTGACGCTTTTCCCTCTCCTCGCCTACTCGTAAAAGCATAAACTAGACAGTATGCTGTATCGGATTTGTGAGTACAGCGGTTCACCTTGGTCGCTTTGACTTCCTTCAGCCGAGACTCTTCCTGTTTTCAAGCTTCAACTGAGGCAATCTTCACCCGAAACCCTTCCATTTTTTCCTGCTTCGCATACTTACACTTCGTCCGTTTGAAACCTCTTCCAAGTGTACTTCTGCTTCAATCTTGTACTTGTGCGAAATGCTGTCTGAGAAGAGGTCTCTAATGGTTTTGGTTTTCACTCTACAGGCTCGCAGTATGTAACAATGAAGAAGGCGACAGGACAGTTATATTGGTATTGGAGTCCACTTTGCAGCTGGATAAATTTGGTGACTATCGTTGCTCCAAAAGTACCGGCAAAATTGTGTAGCGCTAAGTTTCAAATCTATAACAAGGTTTAATATCCTCAGTTGAGCGTTTTTGAACCCAATTTAACACATTCACGACAATGCGACCCACCGGTGGGTCGTACGTGTCCTGCCATTTCGGACAATACGACCCACCGGTGGGTCGTATGCTTTCTGAAGTTTTTGATTTTGCTAGTTCACGGTGAAACTTTTTAGGCAAATACCGAGTAAACTTCTGTATACACCCCTTGGACTACTCCCCGGAAGAATAACACTTTAGACCACAGGACCCATCGGTGACCTGAAAATATTACGTAAATTCAATTTTGCGAAATATGCTCTGGTCCGAAATGGTAGTCATCGAAAAATCGGCCCTGTCGTGAATGTGTTAACATTCTTCCAACCTTGTGGCCTCTCATGACAACTAAAACAAGGCTAATCGCTTAGATATGTAGAAGACGATAGTTTGTTACACTTCTGTGATAGTTTTTTCATCGCTTATAAAGCACAAATATGTTGTTATGCAATGCTTCTTGAGCCCGTTTTCTCAAATCAAAATAGAGCCAATTACATTTCTATCTTCTCAGTTATGTGTGCAGTGCCTTCGAGCTAGTGTTTTCGCTTTTAGATGGACGGACATAATCCAAACGAAGATCCTGCTTTACTCTTCATGGACACTGACCTAGAAGAGGACGATGCAAATATTCCCAAAACCGGCGAAGGTCAGGACGATCCTGTGGCTGCTTGGCTGAGTCTACAGAAGCTCCGTCGTCACCAAGCCACCTCGTCCAGTCTCAGGCACCAGCTGGAGGAAGTTGAGGGTCCGAAAGCTTCGTGTCGTCGACGTTGCTATGGATGTTATCAGTCGATGTCAAGGAAATTTGGGTGTATGGTAGCGAGTTCGAGGGCGAAGAAGGTGCACACCAGATGTTCCAAGTGCAAAGTGCACTTTTGTCTGCATTGTTTCCAAAATATGCATACACATTGCCGAGATTTTTGAGTGTATTTTTCCGTATTTGTTTGGTGGTCTTCGGGTTGCTTGTGATCGATGAAGTAATGCAATAAAAATTGGGGAATAATTTGTATATACATTCGTACTTGATAATGGACCAAAAATAGTTAATTTACAAGTTAAAAAGTCAATTTTTTTCTGATAAATCTTCTAGGATTTACACAGTTTGTGTAAAATACATACTCTTTTTTCCGTTGGCGCACCACTCTAGAGGTTCGCGCACGCTTGCGCGCCTACGACTCGCTCAATCGAAAAAGTCCTATCGATCGAAATTCCGCGCACATAGCACTCGCGGATGCATAAGTGCGCAAAAGGGAGTGCGTGATTGACACGGACTGTATCTACTTGCCATAAACTCTCATCAGCTTTTTCTTTAGAGAATTTTGATTACTTTAGAACAGCAAATTCCATGGAGTTTTGAAATCGTTTTTCTTCAAATTCGAAAAACAAATTCGATTGTGGAACTGGGATTATCTGACCGTCTTTCAATAAAAAACAATCCTTTCATGACTCACTTGGCTCTTTCCAGCTTTGCAAAAAAGCCATTACCCGACAAGGCCAGTACGCCAATCTAGTCAATCATTTATCACGACATGCACGACTTCATGCTTCAAAGAAGCAATATTGGTAAGATTCCTTGCCTTCTATGAATTACTCCAAATTTGGAATTTTTGTTGCAGTTGTCCGGTTTGTCGGGCCTCGTTTTCTCGAAGGTACCTTGCCTATGCACATGTGAAAGAAGCGCATCCTAGTGCAGGACATGTGGAGCCGCTTGATCATGGGTGAGTAAGATAACTCACATAAATGTTCCTCTTTGAAAAATGCTCGATTTTCGTTACAGTGAAAAAACGGAAGTTTTTGTTAATTGCTGTTTCACAGGATTTTTTAACGTAACGCACTCATTTGCTTGCTATAGTCGGAGCGCAGAGAAACAGAATTACAGTATGATCTGTAAAAGACGCAGAGTTTTCTCCACTTTACACATTACGACCTTTTTTACTATCTTAGCCTTAATGGTGATGTTGTAGGCGAGAACTACGCGAGGAGTACAGAGCTCTGCTCGAAGTTTGCTTTCCGGGGGCCAGTTCTCGTCGGAAGAGAAACATAGACCATGACTTGCGTGACAAAAATGCAGAGGACGATGCACACGATAACGCTGAACGATCTGGAGTTCTCTCAAAACTTCTTGAACAGCAATAGGGAGTGTCCGTTCTTGTAATAATTTGTATAAAAGTAGAGACATTTTTATATTATTTTTTTATCCGGTCGGGGCCTGCGTTACCCCTTTTTTCTGTATCCAGTGTAAATTTTCCGGTGTTATAATGATTTTTTCTGTCACTTGTTGTCATATCAGAAATTCAGGTGTTTTACTCAAATTTATAATATTTCAACAGTTTTCTGTTGCCTATCCGTTTCCTTCCTTCCGGTTGCTTTCAGTTAAAAATTTCTATTTTTCTTCAAATTTTATTATTTTCTGTATATTGCTGTCGTATCTGTATAGAAAATCGGTGATGTAGTATATCATTAGGTAAATAAAGGAGTAGCAGTCATCTATCGATTCTAAATATTGAGGTTATTTTTCATGAACTTCTAAAATCTTCTGCTCTTAGAGCGTATAGTAACTCAGTAAAAAAGTTAAATTCAATTCATTTGCGATACATGTTGCATTTTTTTTTACAAAATTTAATTTTGCACAAAAACAGGTTCTCTATCTGTAAGTAAAGGAAGTTGTATACAGATACAGATCAATTTCAAAGTTTATTAGCCATTTTGGGGGCAGGAGGGTATGATATGCTATTCTTTTCCACATTTCCAAGTGCGTAATGCGCATGTCATTGATTAAACGAAAAAGTATGCTCTCGATTTTGTATGTGTTGATTAGAGCTTTGTAAATTAGAACGATTAAAAACTGTTACTTATGAGTTAAGGAGGTCAGTGAGAAATGACTATTATTCTAACAATTCGTCAAAGTGCCAAAGGGGATGGAATTTGTGGAGAACGTGGAATGATTATGATCAGGACCCGGCACGAGGTGGGCAAATGACATCTGGAAATCGTTTTGAATGAAAAAGAGAAAGGGGTTATCGTTTCTGCGGGGTCCATAAACTACCATTTTCGGGGCGGAACCCCGGTAAAAATGGAAGTTTCTGCTCTCTGCTTATCTTAACTTGTTAGTACGTGCCTCCTGCACAAGCGCGCAGTGGAGTTCGCGCGCGTCAAACCGCGTCGCCGCTGACTGCCGCACGCGCGACGTCGCTTGACCAATGCCTTTCGGAAAGACATACATGACTAGTTCTCAGTGCATGCATATTTCTACGGTACCAAACCTCGTAAGCAAACGAACAGAGGCTGGTGGAAACAGTTTTGGAAAAAATGAAAAAATTGTGTGAATGGAAGGTGTAGTAAGCATTTTTTCCAAAAATTTCCCATAGTTGGTGAATGTAGTTGTGAATTCAAATGGCTCGCTTGCGAAGCACAGGCGACGATATGGCATGAAATTGGTAGTTACATGGACACGGGCCCTGCAGGAGTTAACTGAGAAGTTTTATTGAAAAATTATGTGACTGAAGGTTAGCGTAAGCTTTTTTCGAAAATTTTCCTCTACTAAAAAACGGAAATGGCTCGTTTGCAATGCACAAATGACGAATTTTCGCGAGATTTGGTATGTAAACGCGCAGCAGGACTAAGGGATGAAGTATGAAAGTTTATGCAAAATTTATGTGAATGAAGAGTGTGCCCAACTTTTTTCCAAATTAGGTGGGCAATTGCCCACCTAATGCCTACCTGAGGTAGGCAAAAATTTCAATTTACATAAGTTTTTCAAAATTTTCACATAAATCTGTACACCTAAAGTTTACTAGAGGTAGGATTTTGGTTCTGAAATTCCTTCTCTTGTCATACGCGGGAACGGCATCTCTCAGTAATCTAACTGCGTTACTTTGATATTTCTTCATTCCTTCATCATTTTCCTTGCTTATTCTTCTTCCTATTTGCTATCTTGATAAAGGTGAGGAATTATTAGAAGAGTTTGAGCGTTTTGGGCGTTTTTGAGCGTTTTTAGGCGAAGTGTGGCCGGTGCTCTCGTTGCACAAGCACAAGCATGTTTTTGGGCTCAAGGCAGTATTCGTAAAAACTTTTTGGGATCAAAGGGGAATTCGTTTTGGAAACCTATTTGCCCACCTCGTGCCGGGCCCTGATTATGATTGTTATCTCTTATTATAGTAGTGGTGTGAATGGATAACAGACTGAATTGTAAATGGAAACAGGCTTTTATTCTAAGTTGGTAATTAAGAATGAGCTGTACAAGCTGCTGAATAATTTGAAAGCAGAACAAGCGGCGAGACTTTCCTGTTTTCTTGAAAAAATATTTAAGAAACATTTGTGGAAACAGTGAGCATCTTTGGATCCACCTGTGATCAGTTCTATTGGTGGATTCAAAGTGGCTCTGAAACAATCGATTGAGCGGTGTTCTAATAACCTCAACTTGTCATTTTTTTCTTCATTGGGCTTCTTGTCGAGTGCACTAAACTCATAAACATTCACACTTAAATCACTTTGTGGCTCATAACTCTGATCTCTTTGTGTTTTGTTACAGAACAATAAACTCCGTCTGCAATAACTGGCATAATAGGAGATGATCGACTCATTTATGCATTATTTCATTTTTATGTAATACAAGTGTACCAAAAAGAAGAACAAAAGTAACATAAAACTGGAATTGGATTACATCGTCTCTTGCTGGATGAATGAGGTCACTCTCCATTTCTAAGAAGTGAGTGGAACTGCAGAGATCTTTTTCCCTCATCCCAAAATGCACAGAAACGTAAGAAATCACCAGTGCTTAGGTGACCAACTTACCTGAATGGATATGTCAGGACCCTGGACGAGCGAAAAGGAGGGGGGAGGGGCACAGACAGAATGCTTAATGTTCTTCGATCTCCTTAAAAGCCTATCCAGTCAGAGAGGATTTTCCAAAACCTTTGAATAAATCGACAGACTGTAAAAAGGCCCATCAACACCCAAAACATCCATCAAAAACATCAAATTAGTGAAAAAAAACTAGTTTACATCTTTCTAGGAATTGATTCGACATATGTGACTCAATCTCCATATTAAATAAATCTGGCAGTAAGACGGGGCATCGACCACCAAGCGCGAAGACAACCGCAAATCCACCCACATAGCTGGCCAAAAGAAGGCCAACAATGCGAAAGCAAAATCATGTTGAGTAATCCAACGCTCAGAAATTCGAAAAAGTAGCAATCCTATGGAGATCATCTTCAAAGTGAGAGGTTCGTGCGAGAATTGCAGATGTTCTTGCAAATCTTTGGACGATTAGGTTCAGAAGTCAACTATGTTCAAAATCTGCATGACGACTGTTGTGCCTAACGTTTTGAGAAATTCCGAAAAATTGCAAGAAGTTATCTCAATTAGGAACCGACTAAGCCATCCTTGCTGTGCACTAAATGAAAGAGTTGAAGGTATTTGGAAGAAAAAAACCGCCTATTCGACTTTGTAAGGTCTGAAGGCGCAGTATTTGCTTGGCCTCAGTCTGAGTTCTAAGCGAAAAATGGAAAAGGAAAAGATCTTTGCATATTCTTTTGTATCTCAGATTACGTATACCAAGCGGATAGTCTCATGTCCTCAGAGGCAAAGATTGAGGATAATTGGACTGGTAGCATCTGTAAATAACACTGTTAGTAAATGCTTTCTGGATCTCCTCTTCATCATTATTAGTAGATCTTTACTCAGCCTTTCTTTTATCACATCAGAAAACACTGTATTCGAGTCTTCCACAACCTTCTCACAAGAAGGCAAGATCTCTTGGAGGAAGGCAAGGTCTTTTGGAGGAAAGAACGATTCCGCCATCAAGAAACACTCCTCTGTCAGATCGGTTCGCTTTACCCCACTAAAACGAACGACTCGGCATAGTTTGGCATGAATAGCAAGAGATCACCTTGTGTTATGGTTATTTATATCTTGCACAGCATGCCAAAGTTTCATCTAGTTTATTCCAAAGACAAAGCAATCGTCTGACATATAAATCACATTTCTGTAAAGCCTTATATGAAATAGAGATTCACAATCTATCACTTGAAAAAAAAAACAACAATGAAAAGCATCAACATACGTAAAAGTTTAGATATATACTCGCCTAAATATCAGGTTCATGCACAAATAATGGCCGTGGACTAAGGGCTCTTAAAGCTAAGAGTGATTTTTTCTTAGATATCTATGCAGATATCAGGCTGAAATTTCACAGCCATGCTTAGGAGGCATTGTGGTACACAGCACCTGAATTGGGAGAAAGGGGCGGAGTTAGAGGCGGAGTTTGCAGATTTTCGATTTCTGTTTTTTCTCAAATTCTAACGATAAGTCATAAAAAAACTACAGCAAGTGCATGAATGAACGTTACTATGTGTCTACTATGTGATAATCAACTGAGAAGATTGTAGAACTTCTCTGAGCGAAGATCCTATTTCGAGCTGGCCAAATGCTCACAGACTTTGGCATCTAACTTTACGTACACCTAATGTGTAGCTTGATAGTCACTTTGTAGAACTTGCTTCCTTCCATCGAATGGTACCTCATTCATATATTTCTGTATCCAGATGCTTTGGTAGCGTATGCAACGGCCATCATTTTTGCATCAACCTAACACATATACAGTTCGTATAAATGCACCTATTTCTCTGAGCTGTAGCCAAGACTGGTAATGATCTTTTTTCAACTCGTAGGCCGACGTTTCGGCAACAACGCCTTCTTCGGAACACGGAGAGATCAAAACCATTGCACCTCAAGCATCGCATCTGATACAGATATCCTAATCCAACATTAAGTAGGTGGGATGATGACAGGAGATACAAGATGCTCAAAGGCACCGTCCACCCAAAACCCTCAAATCTAATGTTTTTGTCGTCTTCAGGCCTTCTGAAAGCCCTGATTCCGAATATGGAGTCGAAAATCCGCGAAACCCCCAAAAATCCTTGTTTCGAGAACCATCTGCAACAAGCGCAGGCAAGATATCCATTTTGGGTGGACGGTGCCTTTAACGCTTACCCTGATAGCCTACGGTAGACAGTGCAAGCAGACCAACCACAGCACCTTAGTGGTATGCATAACCAGAATGCCCCCATTTGCAGAGCTGACATGACCCGACCCGTAGATCAAAACCCTCCTAGGTTTTGACACAAAGGTCA